CTCTCTCTCTCTCTCTCTCTCTCTCTCTCTCTCTCTCTCTCTCTCTCTCTTCCCTACTCTTCCCTACGAAACTTCCCTACGAAACTTCTTGACCGAAGGACGGCGTGGTGGCGGCCACCGGCCACGACAACGGCGACGTTCTCCTGTGGGCCATCGAGTGGGGCCACGGCGGCAGGGACTCTCGCGGCACGAAATCCACTCGTCGTTTCGACGCGGCTCACGGAGATACCAGAGATACGAGAGCCGGCGGCGCCGGCGCCGGCGGCGCCGGCGCCGGCGGCGTGCGGCCCCTAAAGCTCCAGCGAGTGCTGAGTGGTGCCCACCAGAAGCGGATCACGTTCGTACGGGTGTGCAGCGGAGGGAGAGAGTTGCTCGCCGGGGACTCATCGGGAGAGATCTCGCGCTGGCAGTGCATCCGGCTCGACCAGCTCTCCTCGGCGGAGCTGAACCAGCTGGTTTAGGCCTGGGCTGCTGTTGTTGCCCCCCCCCCCCTCGGGTTTTGGGGCGGTGGTGTTTCAGCACGCGGCCGTCTTACACAAGCCGGGGATGAGAGATGATGTTTTGTGTGCATGGTAACACAGCGGGCCAGCTAAGAGTGTGTGGTAGTAGGTGTGTGTGCCGTGAGTGTCGCGCAGGAGACCCGACAAAACATTGAGGTATGGTAGGCCTGTTTTCCTTCAAGTGTAGCCAAGCGGTTGTTTGTGTGCAGTGTCAGAGATGGCAGCGATTGTGGTCTGGGTCTGAATTGTTTTCCCGTCGGGAATTATGGCTCTGGTGTCCGATACAGCCGAGAGCCTACAGAGAGAGATATCGTGAGTGCCGCAATTTGATTGTGGTCTGATCTGAATTGTTTCGGTCCTCGTGAACTTGGCCCTGGTGTCCGACACATCCGACAGTCTACAGAGAAACATTGTGAGCGTGGATGATGTTGCTAACACGGGCGTTCTCCGGCCAGGCAGGCGAAGTCTGTCTCTCCTCGAAAATCACGACGTAAAAGTTACAAGTGCCCGCGGTTGATTGTGGTTTGGTCTTGATGTTTTGTCGTGAAATTGGCTCCAGTGTCAGATACTGCTGCCGACAGCCTCTTCAAGAGAAGAATCGCGAGCGTGGTGAGGTTTTTGTAGGGAGATACGGCACAGGTGTTTGTCGCGGCGGTCCTTGGGGGCGAAGTAAGGGCTGGTTCTGCTTTATGGCCACGGTGCACCACCGTGTAAACGAACGATAAGAGTGCCAGTATTTTGTTGTGATATAGGGAGTGCTTTCGAACTGTCGTGTTACTCTATTGTCTGTTTTTTTTTTCTGTGGAAGAAGTATTCTCCACGGGATTTCGATGGAGGTATTATATGTAGGTGACCGTGAGGGCTGTCGAGTAGAAGCTGGCCCCAGTGAAGCGTTTTGTTGTCAAGTATGTCAGCGGATAGTTGTGTTTCTGTTGCCCGCTTGCGAGAGGCCTTTTGTTTGCTTCGTCATCAAGGAGAAGAGAAGTTGTTGAAGGCAAACCAAGCCGGAGGGAGGGGGATATATTCTTTGGTTCTCGTTTTTGGCGTGAGAGTGGCCAATCCACTCGCCTCGCACCCCTAGCCTTGTCGGTGTTCTGACTCGAGGTACACGTGTGTTGGTCTATGGCAAGTATTGGCTCCCAGGGCCCGCACACGTAAAACCGTGTAGGGTCTGCAGCGCAAGTCGCACACGAGGCTTGGTGAGCGCTCGCCGAGTGTCTGGTTCTCAAAACACTTGTGCATCTTCACTTCCGGCGTTTATTTAGTTGTTTGGAAATCGGGGACACGGATTGGATTTGGCCGGCTTTCGTAAGGGAGTTTGAAACGACGGAAATCGTCGCTCTGGTTGGGTTTGTTTGCAGACCTCGGCCGGCCTGTTTTGCTCTCGAGAAACGGCTGGCGTTGTTTCGGGGTGTTCGTATTTTTTGTTCTCTTTCCTGCCTTGTCTCGCCACGTCACGTGAAGGGATGTGAAGCAGTATTTGCTGCGTTGATTGGTGTTTGAGAGGTGGGTAGAGCCGGTTGTGTGAGGTGGGAAACTTCATGCGAGGTTCGGTTTTAAGGTCTGTTGAGCGTAATTTCGGTCCATGTCCAATTTGCGCGTCGGCATGCACTCGGGAACACCCCCTCTCGTCTTGTCTTTGCTGTTTCTTCAAATCGATGTCGCCCGCGTTATACGACAGAATAACGACGTCAGTCCCAGCGGTTTCTGTTATCGTGTATGTGCGTTTCTACGTGTAGCATCGACCGCGCTAATCGGCTGACCAACGAAAGACGGTCAGTCTTCTAGCGGGATAAAATTGTTGCGAACACGCTTGATCATCATCGGGGTAATTTGCGTTCGTGTTTGCATGCAGGCGAGAACACACACCGACCCGCCCTGTATCGGCCTCGTCCATGACTAAAGAACGTATAGATTCCCTTCATGAAAGGCTAAATCTCCCCAGCGCCTTTTTGTCGAGGATATTCAGGATAGGATCCCTTCTTCTCGCAACAGAGTTGGCTAGCGTCTGGCTTGTTGCTGACTGGCGGTCGATGAAGGGATTCTACTTGTGCAGGGATCGTCTGCTGTTGGATGCGTGACAAAAAATCGTGTCCGCAACGTATCCCGTTGCATATCATCCTTTCCAGCGTTTGCTGGACACAAGAGCTCGTTCGTCAGACGACCTACCACGCCATACCGCGTCACGTTTATTTTGCGCCCTCTCTCTCTTGTTCCGCACGCGAGAGCGTCATGCTGTGGGGACAGATGTAGACTACCGTATATGACACAAGATAACACACCCCCGTGACCAATTTTCGAAGCTCGATTTCTCAACTGCAGGAACAGTCATAGCGCCGAAAACGGCGGCGTTGAAACTGTCTCGTCGAGAGCTTGTCGTGTCATATACGGTAGTCCCCACCCAAACCGCAGACCGCACAACAGGCAAACGTCACGAACCTAGTTACATGGCAGGAAGAAAACAGCTACCACACCACTGACCGAGGTGACAATATTCTTGGTCCTTGCCAAATTGGAAGTTTTCGTGGGACGGCCCTTTCGAAGCCGCTGGCAACATGAGGGATAGGGCTTCAGTCGGCACCAGGGCCAACCCCGCGGTAACGTTATCTCGCATGGATCATTTACACCAACAGTTGTGCATGTCATCATTTTAAGTAGTCTGGTGGTCCCACAGCAGGCACGCTCTCAAGCGCAGAACAACCACCTGCGCTTTCTTTGTCAAGACAAGGAACCTCTGAGCCAGAGATACACACGAAACTGGCCTTTTTCACGTTGCAGGCAATACACTGAAAGAGTGTACCAGTAGTGCTCTACATTCACCGAAAGGTGTAGTACAAGTCTCACCGCGAAATATGGGGGGACTGTCGCCACAATATATAGGACGAAAACACACACACAGGCCTTTAGATATAGATATGGGTGGGCAAGAGTACTCCAAAACTGGGATCGCGGGGGAGTGTCTATCAGACGTACCCGGTGTTCGAACACGGGGACCCCCCCAGAACAACAGCCAGCAGTAGAGGTCACCCAAACGAAGGTTAGTACAATTTTGGGGAACGAAAGAATCGCGCGACACGATTTTAATCTGATTTACTTCAATTTTTCAAGACCGGGTCGGTGGCGGCCGGGCGGCGGGAGCCTTCGCGAGGGGCACCACGCCGGTCCGTTCGTCGACCGCGAATCTTTGCTTGTCTTTCCCCCCGACCAGCCACGCCCTGAAAGTTGGCGTAGACAGCATCGCCTGTCGTCGCACGCGGTAGGCACGACTGGCCTGCTTCAGCCGCCAATACGAGCGTCCCCCGTTTCCTGGCCCCTCCTTCCCTCGTGCACCTTCTCCTGCTTGTGCCATTTCCGCCTCCTCTCCCGTATCTTCGATGTCGCTGTTGTGGTGGTCACACATGGGTGCTCTTTGAGGGAGGTACGCCCGTGCGACAAGATTGGCGGCCTCGAGTAACCGTGCGCGGCACAAGCGGGATCTGTCAAAGATGTAAGACGAGAGGAGCAACGGGGCAGATGGTCGAAGTTAGTTCGGGGATGTAGCTGGTTGACAGACATCTAGCAATACCAAGGATAACCCCTATGCCTCGTGACACCCACCCCCAGACGTGTTGTGCCTGGAAACATAGGTTTCACGGCGGGAGTATCAAGAACAGCAACAACAACAAACAACCATGCACTCACAATCACTACCACAACCAACACCAACCGCAGCAGCGCGTACCTGGTCTGTAGCGTCAGCACGCCCTTCGACACCGCTCCCTGCATCCTTCCCGTGGCGGATAAGGTCACCTCTGCCTGGATCCTAGCTGCGTCTCCCCCACCGGGCCCGCTCCCTCTCCCTGTCCCCAGCCCTTCGATCCAGTTCAGGGAAGTTCCGCTCGGCACCACCTTCGGCTTGCGATCACGACGGGATCGCTTGCCATTGCTGTTGTCCAACCTGGTTCCCTGGCTGGTCTCACGACGGCTCCTGTCGTCGTGCCCCGGCATGCGTTGTCTAGCATCACCGGCAGCGACGAAGGCGTCGGCGATCAACGGGGATGCTTCAACCGATGATACCGTTGCCTTCGTGGGGGAAATAGAGCCGGGCGAACCAACGCCGCTTGTTGAAGAACATGACGCTTCGTCGTCGAACACTCGCTGCTCCGACTGTGTGTAGCGTACCGACGGGTGCGGGTGCGCGGGTTACGGTTACCGAGATTTCTTGTGGGAAAAAGAGATACCACCCTGCTGCAGGCAATGACATCAGATAGGGGCAAAATGGAGAGAGAGCACTTGCTCTGACATAAATCGCTATCGGCGTGTCGATCTACTGTTCCATCATATAAACCTTCCTTTTACGGTGGCACATAATTAATAGGAGCAATTTAAAAGATATGCGTTTCGGAGTGCAACTTTCGCAATACGATGCGCAGCACAGCAGACGATAGCGCAAATTGACGACAGGGAAAAGGCGGTCACGATGAAAAAAAAACATCAACAAAAAAAATCAAATTGCTTGAGTTATGGCTTGTCGTGTACCTGAGCAGAGATTCAAAATCGGAAAAAATGCCCAGCAACATGCGGCCAACATTGGTATCCCCACTTCTCGGCCTGTAACTTAACATTTTTAAGCGCCTGTCGGCATAAAGTAGCGCAAAACGCTTCCATGACGAAGGCGGTCAATACGCAAGAAGATAGAACATGAGTGCAGTTGACGTGTGGCAAGCTGCATCCGGGGTAAGACTTGTCGACAATTAAATATTATTGATATTTTTTTTCAACAACTGCAGCAGCTGGAAGCAGGGACGCAACCCCCCGCGCACAGCAATCACATATGTGTGCTGTTGGAACATGGTACACCCAGTGCATGGGTGTAGCAATTGATCACAAGGCTGAAAAAAATCTCATCATGGTTCAACCTCGTCGCTGCCATCACCCCATTCTACGCTTTCCTGCTGGATCTGCTCCCCTACCCCTACCTCGACATCACCCACGGGCGACACATCATCTGTATCGTACCCGTCCGGCTTTTCGAGGCTGCCTATCGTACCAGAAAGCACTCCATCACGGTCCTTGACCCACTTATTCATCTCTCCAATGGCGTGGTCAACCAGCTTCGAACAATTGGCTGCCTTCCACCCCCCCTCCTGGCCTGGCCATTCCTTGTCCCCGTACCAACCTTTACGAATCTGCACCCACACCTCCCGCATCTTTCGCTTCAACTCAAAGTTAAGGCTGACGTACTGCTTACCATGCTGCCAAAAAAGCTCGATCGGTTGAAAGGACGGCATGTAGGGCGGCGTCCAAATCAACGCCCACCCCTTTTTCCTCATGAACGTCACCACCCGTTCCTCGAGCCTTTCAGGGTGATTGAGGTGGATGTACTCCCGAGTGGCCGTTGCTACCTCCGCTCTGCTTACACCGCCCTCCCTGTTCCCTGCAGGGAATGAAGAACCAGGCTCTGTCGGTACCTCGAAGTTGTACTCAACAACGCCCTGTTCGCCCTCCTTACGCCTAACCCTGATCGACTTGGCCCCAAACATACGCAACAGATCGACGTTGTGCTTCTTGGTGTTGGTTTCCGGCACTTTGACTTCCGCGTCAAATCCATGGTGGTATGAGGCGTTGTCAAGAACAAGAATCATCCGTTTGCCTTTGAACTCCGGGATCGCGTTGTACGCAGGGCTAAGGCGGTGTTCAAGCCACTCCATGAACATCGAGTCGGTCATTGCTGCGTGGTAATCGCCCTTTGCCAACTTAGCCTGCCACAGAAACTCTGCTGTCTCCTCATCTTCCATTTCCTTCTTGCCGCTACCCGTTTCCTTGAACCAGCCCTCTTCGATCGGTAACCCATCACAAAGCTTAGCCAACGGCCCCCACTTCGTGATTGCATGCACCATGATCATGCGCAAGCCCTTCCCCGTTGTGCGACCAATCCCATCCTGCACAACTCCATCGTCGTCCGAAGGAAAGTAAGAATAGGGGGAACCATGAGCCTGGTGGACAAAACTCTCATCCATGTACACGATCACTGCTAACCCAGCATCCTCTGCCCTCTTTGCCATGACCATCTCAACAAGAAACCGACGAATGCGAGCAAGTCTTTCGGCGTTTAACGGTGGCGTTTTGATCCTGCCTCTACGACGCTTGTAGCCGAGCCTACTCAGCAGCCCTCCTGCCGAACGGTTAGACGGCTGCTCCATGTTGCAAGTCCTGTGCATCCATTCTGCCACCGTGCGGCGAAAGACTTGACGACCGGCCTTGTGCTCGTCATTGATGAACTCGCGAAGTTGATCTTCTTGTACTTCGGTGAGGCGGCGTCGCCCATCATCCTTCTTTGCCGTCTTGCCTCTCCCCACGGCGGTGGTCTCGTACAACTGGCGGTGATCCCACCAGTGGTTGTTGATGCGTCTGACCTTGTCGTGGCCGATCTTGAAAGTGCGCGCAACCTGCCAGCATAGAGAGGTCCAGAGAAGAGAAAAAATTGCAACATCGTTTATGAATAAGGTCAGTTCACTTGGACATTGCACAGAGAGACATCGCACATGCAAGCCTGCTCAGGTGCTGTAAAGTACTGCTGTAAAGAACTGCTGTACAACAGTACAATGTATTCCTGCTGAATATTTGTGTGACGTAGACAGGTGAGTCAACCGTGTAACGAACGGCAAAGGCTCGCGCCCGACATAAATGCAACGAAAACACACACACCACACATGAACATACTGCTGTTGGCAGCAAAAATAGGGTGTACAGCACATATTCCGGAGTATAGATTCAAAAACCAACCGTTACCCCTCTTTGATCAAGATGAATATTTAAAAAAGACATCGGCCTGCTGCTGTGCCACACCATCCGACCTTCACTGCTGTGTACTGACCTGCAACACCGCCTCGTTCTCAGAGCAACCTTCCTTGCGGAGGTCGAAGAGTAGCATGAGGACCATCCTTGACTGCAACTGGGTCCAGACCTCGCCCTTCTTCGGCTTCACCTCGTGCACAGATGTGTCCATGTAGTCCAGGCCCTGAGCAACCTTCTCCGCCGCAGCAGCAGCTGCTGCTTGGACGCGCTCAACCTCCTGCTGCTCACACTTTTCCCGCTGAGCAGCGGCGCGCGCCATTTCTTGCTCCTTCTTGGCGAACGCAGCCTCCTTCGCTCTGAGCGCTTGCTCCCTCTGCGCCATCTCTGCTCTGTCCGCCGCGAGCGCTGCACGTTGCTGCTCGAGCTCAGCTTGGAGTCTCTCCTGGGCCAACGCACCTCTCGCTGCTGCTGTCTTGGCTCTCTTGTCCGACTTGGAAGGGCGTCCAACTACACCACCAGTTGGCTGCCTCCTGCCCTTCGGCTTCGCCATCGGCCGATAGCTGAGAGGCCCCTCTTTGAGCGTGCAGTACTCGACAACGGCTGCGTTGTGTCCAACGCTGGTCTCATGTGCGCGTGCGCGAAACCATAGGGTTTCCAAAAAGTTCTACATGCATGGCTAATTCGCATCTGTTCTGTTTATTTTTTCAGGCCCGCACAAAAAAGTAGTGAAAAAGTACCCTATATTCGCCGGCAGCTGCTGTACCTTATGGTTGTCTGATGAGAGCAAGGCCCGGCTCATTTGAAAGCTGTGGTTTTCGTGTTTCATTTGATGTGTGGTGGGTCTGCTAACCGTGCTGTAGATTGCGTATAAAGCCTCTGGGCAGTAGTGTTGTTTCCAGCTGTCCAAGAATATTTTTTAACACTGCTTGAGAGAAAAAAATACTGTCGCCAAAAAAAGCAAAAAACTGCTCCCACTAATTATGTGCCACCGTACTAGAAACATATCTGGAGCCGAACAGGCAATCAATATGCTGTGTGTTGTTCAGTTGCACGGTATACAACGCAACCCAGCCGCGAGCGAAAAATATGCGCTTCGTGCATGATACACACAAACGATTCCCGCAACGATGTGCGGAAAGGCAAAGGCCTGCCTCACAAAATCCGTTGACTACGAAATCCTACCGTGGCGAGACAAGACACAGACTTGGACCCCGGCCCCTGCCTGCCAACGCAGCCAACGGACCTGCGCCTTTGATCTCGCGAACGTGACCTCGCATACGAAGACCGCCATCCTCTCCTCCTCCTTCTCCTCCCGCGGCATCGGTGGGTGAGAAAGATGCTCTTCCCCGCCTGCCGTCCCTGTCGTACCGCCGCACGACGAGCGGCGGTTGGCCAACGCCGCCCTGCCGGGAATCGCTCTCGTCAGCGCCGATGCGAGCGGGGCTGGGCCGTCCGTGCGCGGGTCCGCGCTGATGACGATGGAAGACAGGAAGATCGGCTCCACCCACGAAGCCAACAATCCTCCCTGTCGGATAGATTTTCCGCCGAGACAAGAGCGAGTAATTTCCAACCGTTTCAGCATGAAACGTAATGACGTTGGCCAAGGTGCGGGTGAGCGTGGGAAACTGAAGAATGGGGAGGGATAGAACCATCACCTACTATTTTCACCTAGCTGGAGGTGGATGGAATTGGTGAGCAAGTGGGAGGTGGGACTTACCGCCAACAAGAGGAATGTTCGCGGCATTGTTCGGAACACTAAGGATGGGGAGGGGGGGGGTAGAATATTCGTCGTCAACGGTTGATTTATCAGTCGAACCAAGGGGCAGGAGTCGGATGGCTGGCGTGTTCATTGAGTTTCGGTACTGGAGAGGATGGGGATTGACGCGAACGGAGTAGCGGTATGCAGGAAAAGCAGCACCCAGAACAAAGACACCAACAAGCGCATACCATGTTGAAGGGATCTGATAGTGCAGCATCCATACACTGCGAGTCCCTCACAACGACGAGAAGACGAGAGCAAGCATCTCACGCACCTGCACACCCAGGAAGGCCCACTTCGCCAGCTTGTCGCTGCAAGACATGGACATCGTCCGCCCTTCCTCCGAAATATTGCTCCGGCTAGACTTGATCCTCAGCGCGCCCACTTGTTGCTGTTGCTCCCGGTCAATGCGCAGCACGAGGTCCGCCGTGTCCGCTTTGCCCACCTCTTCGTTTCTGTACGCACTGAAGCTGCGGTCTGGAGCCCCCCTTTCTTTCACAGCGGCTATGATCTTGGCTCCGGTAAAGGTCATTGTCTCTGCGCCCATGCTTTGTACTTGTCCTGCGAGCTTTTCGCCAACACTTACCTCCGGTTCCCGGGGTTTGAAGTCCAACGGGTTCAAGCTCGCCGCGGAGCAGCTCCGTTCTTCATCCAGTGGCAGACTAGGCCGGGGTGATGGCGCGACAGCATCACTCAAGCCAGCAGTCGCGACCGCGCAACGAGTTCGTTTGGCATCACCGCGGTCGTCACCGGCCCACCCCCGCCGCTCGTCATCGCTTCGACTGCCCGCCGGAGAAGAAGAGCGCGGCGCACCGTCCCAACTGCTGTCGTTGCCACGATCACCGTCGCCACCCCCGCATCTAGCGCTACCCCCGCCTCCAACGTTTGGCGCTTGCCTCTTCTGCTCGTAGATGGAAGCGTCGCCGCAGGGTGCATCGCTGATGTACAAGTGCAGGCGGATGTAAGGCTTTAGCCTCCAGGAGGCGTAAGCTCCGGCATCTTCAGCTTGTGGGCTCCGCTCCAACAGGAGGATTCTCCCATCGTCTTCTCTAGGTAGGACCCCGTCGTACAGCGGAGGTTGTGGGTGTGCATCCACTGTTGCTGCTGTAGTCGACGATGATGGCGTTGAACGTCCCTCGGACCGGCCGCTGTTAGATGGAATCCCTCCTCCCTTGCGTTCGCCGACCATGACATCTTGTTGCCGCCCAGCTAAGGACGATACCCGTAGGTGCAGCTCTCTCCAAAGACGCAGCAAAAGCGCCCGTCGGGCGAGCACCTGTATTGCCCCGCACATGAGCGAGAAAAAGTATTCAGGAAGAGATATACGTACATTCGTTTACGTACGAGAAACCTCGTCCGGCAAGGATCCTGGAGTACACGGACATGAGAAATGCTGAGCAATGAAGGATGGTAACATTGAACCCGTCGTTGCTTGTAAGAATATGCGCTACGTCACGCAGGCGCTGTACTTCACTTGAGGTTGCTGCTTCATCCGAACGTGTCCTGTCTCCCACGAATACAGTTGCGTTTTGCGTGTGCGCCAACTCATTAACGAAAACGCCCACGCGCGCAACTATCGCTTCGCCATTCGCTGACGAGTACTTCAACAAGCGCCAAAACGTCGAACGGGCTCCCTGTCAAGCGAAGTTTCCTACATAGAACCTAGAACGCATTTTGGTGCACGTACAAGCATGGTACAGCTTTCACTCAAGCATGCATACCTCTGCGTGGGAGTCGTGCACGACCGACCCGTCATCAGGAATCTTGTCCCTCCCGACGCACTTATTCCCAGTGGCGAGGCTGACCACTCGTAGACAAGAACAAGAAGTAGAGTTGGCCCCAGCCACAGCGGTGCAGCACTCTGTCTGGTGGTGGTAGGTAACGAGCGTGCGGTCGGATGGGCGAGGTTGGGAAGGGTTTGGCCAACCTCGGATGGGCGTCCATCCCGTACATTGCAGGCTTGGGTGTGGGCATGGTGGTAACGTACGATCGATCACGATAGCAAGGGCGTCCACGGCAACAATCTCAGCAAGAAACAAGTATCAGGTGCGTGAGATTGCATGCGGAACGCGGTCGGTCATTAGCAGCAGTAGGCCGCCGACCACCCCAGCAGAGTTCGTCGCTGGGCACTAAATGGACGATGTGTATGCATAGACCACGGGAAAAGCTCTGCTCGAACGAGAACATACTGCTGGGGTTGCGCAAAGGGTCAGTGGGCTTGTTTCCTTTTTCTTGACCCTGAACGCGTTCCCTGTCTGGGCAAGGGCTGTTGAGGCTACACACAAAGTGTAGTTGTCGTGTACCTCTACCTCACCCGCGTGTCCTGCGCCACAATGCCAGCCAAAACGGTCCACTCTTTCCCTTGGGGCTTCCCACGAGGCTTGAGATTGTCGAACTGCTCAACCACAGCCGAGGCAATGCGATCGCCCAGCAGCATGCTGCAACGACACCGCTGACGATACCAAAGCTCTTATGGTTGTGTACGGGTTGTGTACAGCAGCGTATGTACAGCAGTAGTCTGATGTCTCACACGTGCGGCGAATTAGGATGCAGAACTTTCCCGAACAGGTACCCGGGAACCCAGCGGGGCGACGCAGAAGCATAACGTATCAAACCGGGTCCTCCACCCGAGGCAAGTCGAGATGTCGAGACCACCTTCACCCTCGAGACCAATCCCACACTACATCACCACAAGAGATATGGCAGAAAGCGAGAAGGGGCCCGCGCGAGGCCATGGAGGAGCAAAGGGTGTCGTGGAGACTGGAGCGAAGCAGAATGGTGGGTCTGTGGCAAGACGTTCTTCTCTCTAATGAGATTATTTCCTACCTTCGGAGATGAAGTTGGACGCACGAAGCACGTTGACTAGTGTTGCAGGGTCGTGACAAATGGCCTCACGAGAGAGAGAGGGCATGCTGCTGTGTGTGCGCCCTCAATCTCCTTGTAGGTGTATCAACGACACCAATTTCAGCACCGCTTGAGTTCGCTCATCTGAAGGCTGATAGTCAGTCGCGCAAGAACGCAAGGGACTTGCGTCGTTTCGAGGCTGTCAGCATGATTGTTTGCTCGGGCATTTCTTCGCGCGTGACTCAGGGAGTGTTTACAGCAGCGCGCCACCCGTGTGTGAGGGTTAACACGTGTAGCGCACACTTTCTACTACGGCACTGTAGGAGAACGGGAGACGTCACCGCTACTACTGAGGTCGTGGGAACACAAATGTTGCCCCCCAGACATAATTGCCGCCCTGAAATTACCTCAATCTTGCCACGGTTTTTTCACTACCGCCGTTGTTGGCGGTTGCGGTAAAATCCGCCGTTTTGCCACCGTTTTCTGGTTTAGAAAAATAAATGTAGAAGAAATATTCATAAAATTGGATATTGTACAAAATTAATCCTCCGCCATAGTAGGTACCATCAAAGAGCGCATCACCTCCTACCGCCAAAACAGTTACCGCCGAATGACATCACCACCGAAAACGTGGCCGCCTAAAAGCCGGTACCGATGAAACCCTTATGCGCGCGTACCTGGAATGATCCGCAGAACAGAGCGGTAGGCAAGGTGCATGATCTACAGTAACCCACAGACAGTAGCAGAGTGAAAAATTGAGTTACGTCGCCGTCGCCTGCGCGGCATGATCCAAGCGATCATTCGTGGTATCTTATTGGCTGAGGTCTTCAATGGACGTGCTTGCAACGCCGACGTCGAGCTCTCATCTGCCGGATTGCCCGAACGGGGCTGCTGCATAGCTCATCGCCGGTGTCAGATGCGTTACATACCGGTGTTCTGCTCTGTAAAGCTCGTTGTTCTGCTGGACCACGCTTGGCGTGGAGCAGGTTTGTGGTGTGTACGCGTCCCGTGCCCCATGCGTCCCTGTCTCCCCGTCCACTCAATCATAATCAAACGGTTCTTCCGAAAACGAACCCGAGCCACACTTCTGCAACTCCAGAAGTACCAAAACAAGCCCAAGTAAACCAAATAAACAAACGAAAAGGAAATACGGGAGGAGAAACAAGTTCACACCTGGACTCGAACACCTGACTTGCACTTCATTTGTATCACAGACGAGACAAGGCGGTGATGTATCTGTATGGCGGCACTTTTCGACTGTATTGCGATAATGCGGTAACTGTTGTGGCGGTAGAGGCGGTAATGCGTTTTTTGGCGGTAACGCCAAACGGCGGTATTGTGTTGGCAATTGGCCGTGTTTGCTTGTTTCGGCGGTGTCGACTTTGGCGGTGGCGGTAAAACCAAAAAGACGGCGGTTAAACGGCGGTTTACCGGTACTGCCCACCGCGGCGGTATAAATTTTGATCACAGGTCAACACCTTTGCTTGCGGGGGCCGCTGTGTAGCCCATCGTGATATGTCGCGCCCCTCTCGACCAACAACCCCACGCTCTCTCGCAAGCCGTGTCTGAGACACGTATCCGTAATGGTGCACATGACGTAGACTTTCGAGAACAGCAGTATGTACCTGCACCATTGATGACCCCGAGAAGTAAGGATGCTCGTGGGATGTGGTGGGAGCTAGGTCTCACGGCGCCTATGCACGTGGCCGACCCAACGCAGGCGCCGAAGGCACCGCAAAGCCCGCCGGCACCCACGGCACAACGACCAGCAGCCAGGTAGCGGACGACGGCAACCTCGGCGACAGCAGTGATGTGTGCAACACCCTGTGGGATCAGATGACCGCCCGCGAAGGGAAAGACGCCGCTCGGCGGGCGGGCATGAGAGCGGGAGACTGGCAGGCGGAGAGGCAGCTGCAAGAGGCCCTCCGAGAGAGCCGTCAGGTGTGCGCAATTCTAACCGCATGTTCTGCTTGCCGTCCATTATTTTTTGTTTTGTTCTATTTAACAAGCTTAGCTCGATGGAATCGGGTACGGCGACGAGGAGTATTATTTTTGATCGGTTTTGTTTGGTGCGCGAAGTTGTCAGTGTTTGCGTCCGGAACGGCGTGTGCTTCGGCCCCCCTCAAGTGCTTTTGCGATACCCCCATTTCGTCTTCGTTTTCCCTGTCCCACGTTCCACGTGCTGTGGGCAAGGTCCTGCCTTCTTTTCCGTTCGATGTCATGGCACAATTTTGAGGCTGCACGATGCACATCTTCCTCCCTCCCCGTGTTCCCCGGTGCCCGTCTACCGTCTTATGCTTAGGACGATGGCCCTGTCGGTGTCACGTCCATCCTAGAAGGTAGCGGTAGGGAGGGTGATGAGGCAAGCTTCGTTGACATGGGCTTCCACGCCCTCGCGACGAACGCGCTGGAGGGAGAGGAGGGAGAGGGCGAAGCCGCTACTGCCGCGGATACCGAGGTGGCGTCCTCGCGTGGACAACCTGGCGGCGGATCGAGCGCTGCTGCCGCGGGTGCGACAGCCGGAGACGGCTCTACCGCTGTTCAGGAAGAGGAGGACGGTGAGGTAGAAGAGGAGGAAGACTACGGCGACGTCGAGCTCGTAGTCACCCAGGATGGGGGGATCATACCGGTAGCAGCGGGGAGCGTTGGTGATGGTTCTGCCGCCGCCGGTCGTGCGCAGGAAACGACGGCAGAGGAGGAGAAGGAGGAGGAGGAGGAGGAGGAGGAGGAGGAGGAGGAACACGACCACAAGCTGGCGAAGAAGGCCTTCGAGGGCGGGGTAAGGGTGGGGGTCGCAGCAGAGGACGTCGGCGCCGCCGCCGCCGCCGCCGCCGCCGCCGACCACCTGCCGAAGAACGCAACGGCGATAGACGAGGAACAGGGGGAGGAGGTGACGCCGCTCCCGCCAGACATCGTCCTGACGCTGCCGGACGACATCCTGCACCGCACGATGCTCTTCCTGAACCCGGAAGACATCTTCGAGTGCCGGGCCGTGAGCACTCGGTGGAGCTTCCCGGAGCACGAGAAAGTGTACGAGGGGCTGTGCCGAAGGACTTACCTGGCGCAGGTGCCCGCATGTGTGAACCGCGTGTTTTTTGTCTTTTTGTTGCCGACCTTGTCAGCTCTTGAGGAGCGGTCCCAGTTTTAGAGACACACGTTCTTTGGGTCGGGATTTAACATCGCTGCCAACAGAACGAGTGGGCCATCATGTAGACGGAAAAAAGTGCTTGGAACGCGACTATAGTGACAGTTTCCCCTCCGTGATGGCTGAGGTGGAGACCTCGAACCGTCCTGGCGGGTGGATCGAGACGTCGAGTCCCAGCGAGCGTTATTCGGCACTCCGTGTTTGGTGTTGGAACATTCGCCTAGAATTCGTACATGTATCAGTAGAAGTTGGTCAACAGGGGAAGCATTCGCCCTAGTCTCATCGCTTTGATTGTTAAGGCCCGCATAGCAAGGAGATTTTAAGTCTGTTTGAAATCACGCATCGGGGCTAGTCATACCAGGTAAGGGTGCGAGGTACAAACTGCGACGGAACACGGTAAAAATGATAATTCGAAAAAACACCAACAGAGGTTGCAGTTGGGTAAGAACATCAGCCTTTTGCGATGACAGCGGATGACAAGCACGTGAATGTTGCTTTAGCGGCCAGAATAAGGAAAGGTGGCCCATTGTTCGTCTGATACTCGCAGGCGGTCTAACACAAGACGGAAACAGCATCGTGGGAGCCTCTTCGTTACACCATCTATCATTTGTGTGTCGTCCTCCCCCATCTGCCTTTTCCATTGCCCCCCCCGCACACACACAAAACACGTACGTAGGATGTCTACTTTCACCCGGCCCTATCCGTTGAGTGCCCGCGTCTTGTTTTTGGCATCAGTCCATTGCGTCCGCTGCCGGACGAGACTCAACTCTAGCCTCCTTCCCCGCCTGTTTTGCCGACGCGACTCGTGCCGTCCGCTCGCAGTCCGCCAAGAAGATGCTGAATGTCAAGCGCTGGCGCTCGTGGCAGCGCATGTTCAAGTTCCGCCCGCGCCTCCGCGACACCGGCCTGTACAGGTAAGTCGTGATCCTTTTGCCCACGTTCCTGCCTTGCCACGGCCTAGGTGGTCTTCCGCTGGTCCCCTAGAGAGAGAGAACGGAAGGGCCATGGAAGAGCGAGCTGCTGGGGAAATGGGAACCGATCTTGGGAGCATACTCAAATCACTTGATGCCGCGGTCGTTTCCGCGCCTTTCTCTGGCAAGTTATATGCAGGGTTTGGCGAGAGTGTAAGTCGTGACGCGGGATTGTGCGCTTGTCCGAGACGCATTCGCCCGAACTAGACCCCGTCATTTTCTTTGAAGTAGCCCATGGACGGGAGAAGGGGGGGAAGCGGGGGGGGGGCGGCGTACTCTTATGTTTCGCATGTCTTAGGCTGACTCTTGTGGCAACCGANCGCCCAGATTTGACACGGATTCGACCAAGAGACAGACCTCTCACCACATCACCACAGAGTTCTCCCTCCATGATGGTTGGATCGCCACCAAACCTTGAAGGCTGTATGCACCACACCTTTAGGCGTCTTTGAAGCGAGTGGTGACTGCTGTGGGATCTGTGTGTGCTGAGAAATGTCAATCCATGTGAGCAAAAGTGAGAATCCGT